ATATATAATTTAATACTAGATATTCTCACATTTGTATGATTAAACACTAGTACACAAGAAAACTGTTCTTCCAGTATTTTAATTATAAAACAAACTCTGGTACTATTTGATTTAGAAATCACTTTCACGCACTTCATATCCACAAATGCCGGGAGACCGTCGGGCGCTTAGACCTTGTCCGGGTTGTGGCGGTGCCCCTCTGGAGAAATATCTGTTTGGGGAAAACCCCGCTACCCTACGTGTAGGTCCGCACCGGATCTCCCCATCCGGTGGGGGGGGGAGATCATCACTACCTCCTGCGACGAAGATGCACTACACTTACGGAAATAATGACCTTAAAAGTTGTCGCGCCCGAAATCACTTGTAATCGATCGTTTGATTGCTACCAATGCGCAGGGGAGCACGTGTGGCTGGTGCTGGACGGGCCCGTGGACAGCATCTGGATCGAGAACCTCAACTCGGTGCTGGACGACAACAAGACGCTGACGCTGGCCAACGGCGACCGCCTGGGCATGGCGGCCACCTGCAAGATCATCTTCGAGCCGCACAACATCGACAACGCCTCCCCCGCCACCGTCTCGCGCAACGGCATGGTCTACATGAGCTCCTCGGGGCTCGAGTGGGATCCCGTGGTGAGTGCCCTCTATCCACCTCGGTGATCTACTCTTCCCCGCAGAAAGCTTTTGCAGGTTTGTTTAGGAGTTGTCTACCTTCGAAACGGATTCATCTAGCCCAGAGGTTCCCAATGGGTTCAGTATCGACATTTTAGTCGATAAAAATTAATGGGATGACTGGGGGTCAATTCAATATAAATTGTTTAATAATCAGTATAATCAAGACCAAGGTATCAAATGATTTCAAAACAATATTAAACAAGTAGACAATTATTATCTTATATCATGCTACGAAACACCTGATAATAATTACTGGCAATTCGTTTCTCTTCTTTCGAATTCATCCTTAAAATAGTTAGAAAACTTAGTGAATTATAACTACGTATGACGTAGTATAACGTATGACTACGTTACACAATTGTACTAGAAAACATGCTCCACAATATACACTACCACTGAAATTTAATGGTGTGTTCTTAAAAAAACAGCATGATGACTGCATTCTTAAAAAACATCATGTGACTGCATTTGGTAACCGTTTTACAACAATAAATATTAGAAACTACGCTTCTCAGAGGAGGAAAGTGTTTCCGATTATAGGAATTCAAACTATTTACGAAAATGCAGTTGCGGTGATCGTTCCTCCTTCTAATTGAGGGTTGCTTCAAGCGCAGCCCTAAAAGTGCACCGCAAACTGCTCATTTTTTAAACAAGTGGCTTCCAATTGCACCCAACGGAAACCATGGGGTTGCTTCCGTATCCCCGGAACTGTGTTGCGCAGGTTGGCGCCTTCTGCCGTCCGCGGGCGCCGGTGCAGGCCGTCGGGGCGAGGCGCGCGGAGGGCGCAGAGCGGGGCGGCCGCCGCCCACGCCCACGCCCGTTGCCCCGGCGGCACGGCGGCG